TATCCTTTTCAGATGGAGGAATATTTTCACTACATTCTGCAGAATTATCATGAATCGTGTTTACATTTAAATCTACAAATTCACAATAATGTTATTAATAAATCTTATAAATGATACATAATAAATAAAGAACAAAGAAAAACAACATATAAAAAAATAGCTAATAACAATTTTATAATAAAGAATCAGTACTATTCTTTTAAAAATTAATATATACAATAATTAAAAAATTAACCTCTTTCTTGATGCTCTTCAAATATACTTTCAGACTGTAAATTAAAAAACTTCCATACCATTGGAGAATCTGGGACTGTAAATATGCTACTATCTATAAAAATATATATACAAATTAAGTTAAAAAGAATAAAAATATGTTAAATATAATATACATATTCTTCTAACCTAAAATCTGTCTTAATAAAAATTATATTTTCTACTTACCTCTTACATCCATTACTAGAAATAATCCATTTTCTTGCAATGGAAATCCCATTGGTATTTGTAACGAGTACATGCGTATTTTGTATAAATTCATGGATTTGAGCCATTATTATAATGTTTTTATTTTTATGATATTGTATCAATCGTATCTTTGGCGCTTAACCTTAGAGTTTACTATTCTAACCCACCTCGCAAGCGAGATTTATAGAGTTAACTCAGGGAATACCCTACTCTCAATTTTGGAACGAACAGACTCCGCCCATAGAGTATGTTACTTCGTGTTTCGGAACGATCATGAGTTGACTCTCTTACTCAGAGTAGAGTTTTGGAACGTAGCCCAGTAGAAAAAGCGGCTTTACAACTGTTGCAAAATTCTTTAATATGATTGGTTTATACATTTAGATCCATGAAGAACCAAGGGCAAAAACCAATCATGTTGAAGAATTTTACAATAGTTGCAAGCTGTTTTCTCTGCTGAACGCAGCCATTATATCTTCCTTCCGTATGTAATGAGCAATGAAGATAAAATGATGCTTACTGCGCATGAGCGCCTAAAATGAACGCAGTGTTGTATTCAGGAATTCACTGTATATCATTTTTATCCTTGTTATTCACCAAATGTTAAACATGGATAAAATGATATCTAGATGCATCTAGGTGAAGTTCTGAACGCAGCCTTGCTGTGGTAAGAGACTAAGAGAGCCCTCTAGTATATACTGTTGCATTCGCAAAATATTAATGTGTTCCGAAATATCGGTCTTAGCACGCATGCGTGACTTTCTTCGTTCAAGGTTCAAGCTGCAATTAGCAACAGCGTTCATCGTTCTGTTTTCACTTGTTCTTTCCCGAATCAACTGCGGATCGTGTGCAAGCATATTCGTGTTACGAAAAATCCAGAGTTATTGAATTTGAAATCGAACATGTACGCATTAGTCAAATTTTATGACGATATTCATTATGTATGCAAATCAAATCTTATTACTATTAATAAAGATTTTACAAAAGCGATAATCTACATATAGCGATAATCGAAAGTACCTAGCAAGTATTATAGCAAAAAATGGTAAGTTGGAACACTTTGACTGCTTTTCACGTATGAAGCACATGATATAGCATGTTATCCTTGTTTAACATTTGGTTAATGATACATCCATAGGCGTGCATGAAATTCACGCATCATGCGCATGATTTTATCCTTTTTTATCCTTGGTGAGTAACAAGGATAACTTGATGTATCATGCGTGGAACGTAGTCTTTATATCCTTGACATTTTCAATATTATTATTGAATGTTCTTGCGAACTTTGCAATTACATTATTAAAAAATAGTTATAAAAGAAATATCGTGTCCACGTTGGCTATAAGTACACCATGCGTTAAATCAGCGATATATCTTATATTTGATCTAAATTTGAGTCAAACACGATAAAGAAATTGTTTACACCGTTGCAATATTCATGTTTGGGTTTAATATAAAAAAATATATATATATATACGT